ATCTGCATAATGAATAATAAAGGAACTGAGGAAAAGACCTCACTTAAAAAAAAAAAAAAAAAAAAAAAAAAAAAATATCACCTTCTTTGTGGACAGAATCAATAAAAACTTATATAGACAATGTTTTGTAAGTATGTTTTCTACAAATTTAAAGTTATATTGAAATATAACAGTAACTTTTGTCACCTATTTACAAAAATTAGGATACAATTTTAAGATAGAGATTTTGTGAAAAATCAAAAGTGAAGATAACAAGTTTTGTCTTATTATGAAAAGGTTTTATTGACTTGTAAGTTTCTTTTATCATTTATTGCTATTTTCAAATATTAGACACTTAATCGTATTTTCTTGATTTCTGTTATAATTTATTAGACATATTTTCAAATCGGTCAACAAAAATAGGTAAAAGAAAATATATTATACAAAATATTTAAAATTATAAATCCATGTTTGGATATTGAGACATATTCCACTAGTATTAAAATTAACAAAATCTTGTACTTATTCTAGCATTCTCAAAGTTAATACAAAAGGTGAATACTATATATCATATATTTATAATTCCAACAATATTTCCTTAATTATTCCAACTAATCTTATAAGGTATTTGGATCTTTGATAATAAAGAGGTTATTTAGCAGAAGTATTTGGTTCCTATTATTGTTGTCATCACATGATTATGCAGTCAATTGTGCAACAAAATTTGTATATCACTTTCAAGCCAACAAAAAGGTATTAATGAAAGAAAAGAAAAGAAAAAGTGAATAAAGAATTAAAAAAAGAAAGTAAGTAAAAAGTGCAATTGGAAGTTATAGTATAGGGAATAAAAATAGTGTATAATAATCTTTATAGAGATTATAAAAGTTCCTGTGAAAATGCAATTAAGATTAAAATATTTAGTTTACAAGCAATTGGTAAATATTTTATATTTATTTAAAAAAAGATATTAAATTAATAATTTTATATTTTAATTTAATATATTAGAAGATGATTTATATTCTATCTTGTTACTATTTTTATTTGAAGCCATATCAAAATATAAGAGAATTCTTATATAATAGTAATTATCTATGTAAATAAAATAGATAGGCTAGCAAAATCTATTGCATATTTTTACTTTTTTTATTAACCATATTCTTCTTTTTGAAATAGCAAAGAATATTATAAAATTTAAAGCTTTTCAATAGCAAAAAACTGATAAGAACATCCTTATTAGCTTTAAATGACATTGAAAGAAGGCAATTAACTGATCTTTATATAGATTAGATTATGATAAATTTTATATTTAAATTGTTTTTTTTGTTTATATAAAAGCAAATTTTACTCTTAGTAATAATTATAATGTATTTACTAGCTCACAACTTAGACTATCAGAAATTAAAAATGCTATGCTAATATATTTGAGGCATATACAGTATAGATATCTACTATTTAACTAGTAGAGAATTGATATTTTGTATTTACCTTGATACTCTGATAGCCTTCTTACTAGATTTAATATAAAATATATTTTTAGAAGAAAAGAAGAACCTCAAGACTTCTATAATATAGTATGTATTTCAATAATTTGGTATACTCTGTTATAGTAAAATTATACAATTGCAATATTTATTTATTTTAAAATACTTATAAACTTTATAGTTTTTTAGAAAAGGATTTATAGAACAAATTTCTATTTTGAAAAAAACTTAATATAACAATTAATCATAATAGAAATTTACAGTCTGGCTATATATACTTTGCTATGTAACTAATCACTAATTACATTCTGGCAAAAATATGCATATAGTTGATGCTTCAGCATTTATGAACTCTCGAAGCTTAATTAGACTGTACTGCATTTATGATAAGCCTATTATACCAGTTGTATAAGTTGTTGAAAATTTCTCTTGTTCAATAAATTTTTTTATAAATTTTTATTTTTTTATTTATTTATACTAGCCATATTCTTTTTTTTAAAATAGCAAAAAAATTGTAAAAAAATTTACTTTCTAAAAATAATATATTACTTCTACTATATTAATTTTTAAGATCAAAATATAATAACTCTATATATTAAGAATAGCCACACTAGAGTTATTATTATGAGAATCACCTATACCATCATTATACTACTTTAATTAAATTTTATAAAAAGTGTAATTGCTAGAGTATAGATATCTATATTTTGAACCAAAAAATTGACATTGTGGTTAACATAAAATAGTATTTAAGAATTAGATAAATTGTCATAATCAGAAAATTTTTGTAACAAAAAGCTAATAAAAACATCACTATGGAACAAGAGCAAATAAAAATATTACTATGAAATAAAAGCAATTAGTTAATTCTCAAATAATACTCCCACTAACCAAGAAGCAATTATATGTTTTTTATATTGAGTTTTGAATTATACCTGTCAAACAATCTACACAATTAAAATAATTTCAAGTTGATGTATTAAAATCTCAAAATCTTTAAAAAATTTTCTATAAATACTAGCTGTAATAATTGTATATATTTTATTTTATTTCTAAGTTATCTTTTAAATTACCTGAATGGTTCCTTTTGAGAGTTGGTTGCTCTTGAATATATTATTGATATAGATCAAAGTTTATTATCCTTTTGATGTTTCACATGTGAAAACATAATCATTAATACTAAAAATTGCCACTATTTTAATAACAGGCAGTATATATATGGGATCTTTGCTAGGAAAATCACCCTTCGGTGTTTTCCAATTGGGCTAATTCGGAAAAGCTTAGACCAGAATGCCAGTTCTTATTCATATGTGAATCACCTTTTGCTTTATTTATTCGATAGTTTATTAAATAAAAACTGTCGAATCAGTAAAGTAAAAAGACGGTTTACATATGAATAAGAACCGACATTCTGGTCCAAACTTTTCCGAATTAGCCCGATCGGAAAATCCCGAAGGGTGATTTTCCTAGAAAAGATCCCATATGGGTTTTAGAAAATGAGTGACTTTTTTTAATAAAGAAAATCTAATTGCTAAAAGTTTTAATTTCAAGATCCTTTTGCTATTAGAGCTGAAAAATATGCTTATTTTTGCACTACTAATTTATATACACGACCAGATACAGTATAGCGATTACCGTAAAATATGGAAAAAATAAGCACAGCTTTTTTCAATCTCAGATTAACGGGAATAACTTGATTAAAGATTTTATTGTTATTTCCGCTAATCTGAAATTGAAAAAGTAGGTTAGAGGGTGCTGTGCTTATTCTCCATGTTTTACGGTATCTAAAAAATATATATCTGGAGATTCATTCCAAAAATATCTTGGTCCCGTAGAGATTTCTTCTATAACAAGTTATCTTAGTATAGAATTTAATTCAATTGCAGAAAAGAAAAACATTCAAACTGTAAATCTTTTATGTACAGTACTACCGTTAAAAAAAGATGATACAAAAAAGACATAATATTATATTGTAGAACAAAAATTTATACGGTTCAATTCAAATGATGGATTTATTAAAAATTATCGTCCAACTCTTGAAGCATTTGTTCATTTTACTCATGAAGAAACTGGTGGATATTTAATTATTACTGATCTTCAAGGAATTGAATTAAAAGATAAGTTTATCTTAACTGATCCGGCAATTCATTGTACTGATTTTTTAAGATTCGGAAGAACAAATCTCGGTATTGAAGGGATTAATAGATGTTTATTAACTAAACATAAATGTAATGGTAAGAAGTTAGGCCTTCCTTATCTTGGGTGATTCAAACTTAAATAATAAACAATAATGTATATATTTATATTGGCTCGTTCAACATAACGGTCAAGTGTAATATTAGAAAATTTTTAGGGTAATGATTTAGTTAAAACACTTATAAAATAAAATTATATAATGATCTATATATTTTGTAAAAAGACAATTTTTGCTTAATACTTGTATCTTACAGCATACTGATATTCTTTATTATAATAAAAATTTCGGTTTTAGGTAGTATAGCGAACATTACGAAAACAGAAAAAATATGCTCAAGTATTTAATTCTATAAATATCGTCATCAATTGTAATGCTTGAGCGTCATCCCGATTATTATCTGATCAATTGATTTAGAACGGCCTTAGTCGACTTTTAAATATCAGCTTAATTGAATCGATAAATTTATTTCGACTACAAACAATTTAGAGCAATTGTCAACTCATGACGGGTAAAAGCTCTATGCCAAAAACCTTTACATTAAAATCAAAATCTAAATTTGATTAGCTGATACGTATGACTGATTTACAAAGTGTTAACTATCGTTCGATCACTATATCAAGAACACAGATATTTAGTAAAAATACCCTGATCCGTATGACAAGCGGAAACTTCGTTTCCAACGGCTCAGGATATTTTTATTACTTATTAATTACATCACATAACTCACTGCAATTGCAATCGCATATCTTGTTATATCTACACATTAACCAGATAGATACAGTATTTATATAAAATTTAGAAAAAAAAGCTGGGTCTGTTCAGAAGTTTTAATGACTTTGCATGACCTAATAGTATTTTTTTTTTATAATATGATTGCAAGAATTTGTACGTACTGTACGTCGATTTATATTATCGAGCTTTCGAAAATGTTAAGTATTTCTTAAATAATAAAGGCAAATTGCCAAAATTAATTAGATTTATTAGTATAAAAAAATACGCTATACAGTATATAGTATTATTACACAGATTTTAATAGTGGCAAAAAAATTTCTTATATATAGAAAAATTTTGACATTACACTTTATTATAGAGGAGATTTTATAATATTCTATATTGTGCTACAGTCAACCCTTTATAAGTGCACCCTCTATAAATGCACACATTACATACCCTCTCTAAATACACATCAATATTTAGTCCTAAGTATACTGTATAACCCTTTCTAAATGCACATTTTTGAAAATTTTGTCTATGGGTGCATTTATTAAAGATCAACCAAATTTATATACAGTATATAAATTTAAAAAATTTTATAATAAAAATTTTTAAAGCAAAAGCTTTAAATTTTTATTACTTTAAATATTTAAATTTAAAAAATTTTTATAATAAAATATAGAATTAATTTGTTTGTAGCCGCGGCTACATGTAGCCGTACTATCAATATAGTTTTTTTATAGAAAAGTTTTACAGCTATATTACATTAGGGTTAGGGTTAGGATTAAGGTTAAAGTTAGGTTAGGGTAAAATTGTGAGAGGAGCATTTTTACTTAGTTACACAACAGGGTTACCCTAGTAAATTTTGAGTAATTATTGAATATGGCTACATAGCCGCGGCTACAAATAAATTAATTCTTTTAATTTTATTTAAAAAATTGTAAAATTTTGCCTGGAAAACAGTTAAATAAATAATATTTATTGTACATTTACTAGTATTTGTTCTGCTTTAGCATATTAGTCTCTTACAAAACTAGTATTTAAAGTTCGAATGTAAAGTTATAAATACGTAAATATCTCAGACATGTCCCAGATATGTTTCAGATATGTCTCGGACATAGACAAAAAGTTGTGGGACAATGTCCGAACACATTGATTGCTGGTCTAACTGTACTATATCATACGTATAATAAAGCAGTCGACTAATATTGTATATGGGGTTTTTTTTTTTTTTTTAACAAAAAACATATAAAAGTTAATTTTTTAATATACAAAACCAGTTTAAATATGTAGTTATCTTAATAAATGTCAATATATATTATTTTTACGAAGACAATAACTCATTCTAAAAACTGATGAGATTAAGATCATGTGATTAAAGTCGAAGAATCACGAGCTATTGTCGATAATTACAGATTAAGCACTCCATTATCGCTATTACGTATAATAAAGATTGGCCATATTAAATTACGTAATTCAAAACTTGGCCAAATGTAACAATTTGACAGGAATTATCTAATTATTGTTATAGGGGAGACCGAAATTTAACTATATAAGAACCATTGAATGCAGTATTACAGAACAAAGTTCAGAAGTTGCTTAATTACGATCTATATTTAGTTCAAGTAACGTCATACGTAATGTAAAAAAACCTGATCTTTGATACTAGCATTAATTCTATATGGGTTCCACGGATGATGTATAAAAAGGATTCTTATACACGCACAGAAAGTAAAAAAGTAAACATATCAAGCAAGAAGCTGCACAAACATAACAAATATTATTTCGCTCGATAGGCGCAGTAGTTACTGTGCAATTGTTTTCTCTTTATCGACTCATATATTTTGTGTCCGTTGTGAACCCAAACTTTTTTTGGTTTATTGCCATTTATCATACATTCGTTCTGAGCTCTAAATTTAATAACAAAAACCTTCTTTACAGAGGTAAAAAATTCGGAATTTTTTCTTTTATTTTTTTCCCATTATTCGTCCTCCACCTCTTTCCTTTCATAGCAATTAAACATTTTATTTATGCATAATTGATATTCTATTTTATTTTGGGTATATGTTTTCGCCTCGCCTGATTAATGTTTTTAATGTTTTTGTTTATTTGGAACTTTTCCAGTTTAGTCAGCGCGGTCGATTCCTACCGAATACATACTCCCCATCATATAACCGTCCGCCCTTCTTGACTAATTAATAGCCAAGCTTGAACCTTGGTTTTGCCTTCCTTCATCTCTTTTTCCGCTTGACGACTCTATAGTTCTTTTCCGGTATAAATTTCGGAAACAAAAAGAAGGTGTATAAAGCATGACGTTTGACCTTGGTTTAATTGTTGGGAATCCCTTTTATCTTGCCACTTTAGGTTTGGCAGCAGTACGGCAATCCTTTCTTCGCATACAAGTTGTTGCTTTATTAAGTATATGCGTTTCTAATTTTATTCTTATAATTTTAGGTCGGTTGGATCGTAGAATTCGCCGGTGCTGCTGCTGCCCAAATTAAGGACATTGGTTGGTTCTTTATAATTTATGAATTGTTTCTTATAATTGGTATTTTCATAGCCATTGCTACCAACGCTTTAAGTTATTATCGCTCTTCTGTATCCTTTAAATTGAAAACGAATATCGATTATTTAAACGCATTTATGTCATTCATAATCCCTAAATAGATTAGAACATATGATAATTTCATAATAATTACATAAATGCTTATTTTTTAATTTTATTGGTCGTAAGCACTTATTACTGAATTTTATATAAAAAATATATATATATATCCTTAACTTTAATATTCATTTATCTACACAGATTTTAACATTGTTGGGCGTTGGTATAATTTTTCACATCCTGATAATTGATGGAAATATTAGAGATTCTGCTTCTACATCTCAAGCTTTCGCTGCTGGTGCACTTTTTATTGCTATTGTCTCGGTAACTTACATTTCACTTTTATTATGTGGATTGGTATTATTTTATCTATAACATCTTAATAGAATTGTCAAATACTTTATAGTTTGTTTGGGTAATTGCATTTGGAGCAGAAGATGGCTCCCTGGTTGGAGACACCATAAACTCATGGTCCATTAGTAATAAACCTACTAATCCGAGAAACGTACATCCGGATGTTGGTTTTCCTCCAGGTGTACAACTAAATCCTGGACCTGGGCAAATACCGATGAATAACATGCAACAAGACCAAGTAGTTGTATCCCCTAATGCTGATTATGCTTACAAAGCCAAAGCTTTATATGATTGTAAGTTATATCAACGAACACGCATATATATTAATTTTTATAAATTCTCAAGTTATTTTATTGGGAATTATCGACATATCTAACTTGTTATTCTACAGATCAAGCAAGCCCTGAGGATCAAACTGAACTTTCATTTACCAAGGGTGAAGTCCTTGATATTGTAGATAATAAAGGTAAATGGTGGCAAGCAAAAAAAGCCGATGGTTCAATCGGTATAGCACCAAGCAATTATGTAAGTTTCTTTTATTATGTATAATACTTGATTTGCCATTATTAATTTTCCATACTAATTGCTTTATTTAAAACAGTTGCAAATTGTCTAATTATAATAATAAAAGAAATAATTTTTTTTTTTTTGCCCGCGTTTTTGAAATGTACAAATCTAATTATTTATGTTTGATTTATTCCGCACTATAATATTATGTATAATCGCTATTAATTCATAATTTATACATTTATCAACAATAATTTTTATGCCATTTTTCTCTTCAAAATAGGTCATTATTATTTTTTCATATTTTGTCATCCTGTTTTATAGAAAATTTTTATTCTTATGTATATTGTATACATTATAAAATTATTTTGTATTTTTGGATTGGCACAAACTTTTATCGCCGCTTCCATTTGTGTCAATTGGTTTTTAAAGTTTCATTTTATTAAATTAACCGCAGACGATTTTGTTTAAATCCAATTTTATAGTTTCCCTTTTATAATATAGTTTGTTTATTACAAATTTTGAGTCTATTCAATATTTGGCGATTGGTCAAAAATTATTTATTCGAAAAAAACATCTCATTATTTCAAACATTTTTAACTAATTTTAATATCGATAATTGTCATTTATTTTCTTCAAATATATTGCAGTTTTAGTCTGCATTCACATAATACACGTGATATGTACACTACGAAAAAACTTTATTTGGATGTAACAGTAGATCCTTCACAGTGAAAATTTTGATCCAATAATACTAATATGTTTCTATGATTTGCAGTATGAATTAATTTTGTTTAACCATATAAGTACATACAGTGGGGGAAAAAGTATTCGCGATTTTCTAATTTTATGTTTTATGGAAGTTTTGTCAATTAGTGAAAAATATTGTCAATCAGTTAAATGGAGAGCCAGTAAAAATTCCGAAAGGGTCAAAATACTGACAGATCAAAATCCTGACAGATTACTGGCCTATTTTTTGGGGGTTTGTTCATTTTTAACATAATTAATAATACTTTACCGTTACTTTTTTGTAAGTATAATAAGTTGGAAATCGCGAATACATACAGTATTAAGGTGACAAATCAACTAATTAATTAAACCTATGTTAACAAGTTATAGAACTTAATATATTTCTAGCACACTAGTGATTGTTTCGGATTATTACTAAGCGATTCAAAATCAATTTAATCCAACTAACACTTTTTTTTACAACCCACAAGAAGACATTCATGTGATTTACTAATTTAAATTAATTCAATACTGATACGATTTATTATTACCGTATAGCAAAGTTTGCTCTTTATTCATATATAATATCAAATTTTAAAAATTATATATTTTAATATTATTTTTGGATGGTAAAAGTTATGTTTGATCCTGTTTCATAGAAGTCGCTAAACACATAATATCATGTGAAATCGAATTCAAGTTTCAAACTTAAGTTTCGAACTTATTTTTATTGGCTTTGCATATATGCACGTATGACACGCGAATCAGAAGATAAATTTTTTACAATTTTGAGTGATCAACATTCATATGGTTTGCGCCGTGCAATGCTACAGTGCATGATACATACAGTAACTAAAGATTAAACACGTAATTTGTTTGCAAAACCATGTTTGAGCATATACTGTAAAATATATATACTTTAAGTATGGTTTTCTATAAAAAAACTATATTAAATATTGATATTTTTTTGATTTCTTGAATTTTTGATTGGTTAAATTGTTTTTCTTTTGTATTTTTTATTAGATAAAATTTTATTGGTTAAAAAAATTTTTAAAAATTAGCCAATACCTAGAACCAGAAATTTTTATTTTATTTTATTTTTGTTAATATCTAGATTACAATTATATTATAGAAATATAAAGTAAATATATACTATAAATTATATATATATACGGAGTGCCTTATATGAGTGACGAAGAGGGAAAACCTGTAAGTAAAAATTAACGTTATCACTAATTTATATATATTATATATATATTAGTAATAACGTTAATTTTTACTTACAGGTTTTCTCTCTCTGTCACTCATATTAAATTGGACATATACCTCATTTTGAGTTTAATCGTTTGTTTTGATTTTCGGACTAATTCAGGATTGAGCAAATTTCATGATTTTGATTGGTTAAAGGTAGCAGATTACTATCAGGTAATCTCTGGCCTTGGCAGCCTTGTGTAATTTTTCTTTTATATTATCTCTATTTTTTATTATGCAAATCGACTTTCATTTATAATTGAAAAATGTCAATTAAGTCAAAATTTACCTGGATCTATTAAAAACTTATTTTTCAAAAAATTTTGAAATGGGCTTTTTTAATATGAGGTACTTCATATATTTATATGATATATTTTTATATGTAGAACATGTTTATTTAGAGCATTAAAGTAGTTTTAATTGATATAATTTTGTGAATTTTAATATTCTTCATAATTTTATTAATAAAATTATAAAAAATAATATTATTCTCAAATTTTTATTAATGAATGTTACTTTATACTCTAAATAAACGTGTTCTATATATAAAATTATATCATAATAATATATGTTTACTTTATAATTTTATATGTTAAAAAAAAGATACTTAATTTTGAAATTTTTAATCAAAAATTTAAAAGTAAGCATCTTTTTTCTTAAAATTTAAAATTATAAGCCAACAAGTTTATATAAAATATAAAAGTAGATTTAATTAGTATAATTTTGTAGATTTTAATATATATATATATTTTCCAGTATTAAGAAGACCTTTTTATTAATGGCGATTTATTATTATTATTATTTTTTTTTATACTTCGGCTAAGTCTTGCCGTAACCAACTATCCCTACTAACCACCCCTATACAGGGGGTGACCACAATTCAAATATTTCTACTATTATAAATACATTCAGAATAGGCCCGACCCTACCCGGTTGCCTATTTAGGTACCTAGGACTGACCGCCTACACTATCCTCTGAAGAGATTGGATCACCTTATTATTGTACTGGACTTTCATCAGCCAATCTGGTGTCACCACGAGTTCTTGTAGTATCTTTATCAGACTTGGCCTCACATTACATCTCGTGACTTTGGTTATTCCAAATCAGGGTTCTAACATGCCTCGCTTCATAGCTACAACTTCTCGGAATAACTATTTCCCGAATACGTCTATCTATAGATATCCCGGGTTCCCTGTACCCTGCGGTATTTCACTTCCATTTTCGAATTTTCATTAATCTGCCATTAGGAGGAATTGAACCGGCAACTATCCAATTTGCAACCTGGGAGCGTAACTACTATGCTATTGATCTACAGGTAACAATGGCAATTTATTATCATTAAGTATTATTTCAGTTACAACAAAAGTATATATAGCCACATATACATTTTTGGTACCTAATTTAAATAGTTTGCCCAAAGCAGTAGTACTATGCTAAGAGTTCTACACTATCTGCCATATCTGCACTTCCACTATATAGAGTACCTATTTAAACTCTCTAATCATATTCTTAATTCTACTGTATAGAACTTAAAACCTGGGTATAACCTCATCATATATACCAGGATATTATGAATCTATATGATACTACTAGTTTAATAGCCAGACTTAGGACAGAACTGTATGTCCTTATTTATCCTTGAAGTAAACCTGCCAGAGTAATACATTTCTATATATATATTTATCTAGACTTCAGTAACTTATATCATAGCTTAATCCATACATCTGGAGTCAGGGCTAACTAATGAACTTTTACTATTATTTACTTTTACTCTTTTAAGATTCACAAATTCCTATACTATATTTTATCACTTTTCATATCTTACTCCTTTTGGTATCATTATTCTTTCAACTCAGTTAGCCCAGAAGGATTGGTTTGCCCAGATCTGAGTTTTCTAGACTCAGGTCTGAAGGTTTTTCGATTCTTGGTTCACAATTTTATAACATGTAATCTTTTCTTCCAAATAACCTGGCAGCCTAGTTGGTAGATTCTTTTTGTCTGTAAAATCTTTGTTATATAACTTCTCCAATTTTTGAAATCCAGTTAGATTTGTTTTATAGTACTAGGTAGCACCTAGTTAGAACAATCTGCTACTTCCTTAATCAGGGTTTGCCAAGCTGATTTCAGTTCTCTTAGGCTACTGTATATAGGTCTTTAATATATATTGATTCTGAATGACTTATTATAAGTTTGTACTACCTATACTAGTTTGCATTTCTTTGTGCAATAATACAAATATATTTATGTCTCCCAGTGCCAAATGGCATTGGTATGCCCAAGTTTACAAAGTACCGTAATACATACTACAGTATAACAAAATCCTAGCCCAATTTAGAATAAGCTATCACTGTAGCACAAGTAAATTATCCAAAACATCGCCAGTGAGATTCAAACTCATTACTATAGCTAACAAACTTGGAGTACAACAACTTCACTACTTCACTACATCACCACATCATGTGGATTTTAATATTTTTTATAATTTTATTAATAAAATTATAAAAATATTGTGATTTTTAAATCCTTGCTTAGTAAATCTTTTTTTAGCTTCTAAGTAAAGTTGTAGAGAAGTGTTTTGCGATCAAAATAGTAGTTAAACCATTAAAATCAACTCAGTATATCACAAGATATAAGTATTTTAGTTTTTACAACTATATGCTTTTTTCTTTATTTATATAAAAAAAAGAAAACATATAATCACAAAGACAAAAATACTTATATTTTGCAATCTACTAGACTAAATTTAATACTTTAACCACCATTTTGATTATAAGATACTTCTCTACAACTTTTATTAAAAAATGAAAAAAAGTTTTACTTAGTAAAGAAAAAGTTTAGTTGAAAAACTTCAAATTTAAAAACTTTACTATGTTTTGTTATTAAACTTTAAACATGTTTATGAGCTTTAAACTAAATCTAAACTGAACATGAACCTGACTTAAAAGTTCAATACTGAACTAAACTGAATATGAACCTTACTTAAAAGTTCAATATTGAACATAATTGAACTAAACCTGAACCTGAACTTAATCAAAGTTTAGTTCAGATTTATAGAAACACTATATATAATATTGAAGTATAAATTATAGATATTATAAAAATTGTAGTATTGTTAAATATAAATCAAA